TCGGTTAGAATTACACTTAGACTCTGACAACGGCAGCAAATGCCTCAATGAAAGGAGGCGTTTTCCGTTGATTGCGTTCTGATTTGACAGAAATATTTAATTTATCGCAGAGAACCGTTGGTTACGGTAATGCTTGATTTCCATGTTTTTCTATATTTTTGAGGTATATAAAAATCACCGTGATGCAGTTATTTTAGTAAGTGCCATAGTGAAGCTAGCATCTTTCTGAAACCACCTAAAATGTGTTTAATTCTGTATTCGAACTCACCAGCCTGAACATGATGCTGAGCCGCGGGACACGTCGAATGTGTATGTCCGTGTGGCGCCGACGGCCCCCTTTATACGTCCCACGGAGACGGGGGCGTGGCCTCGACCAATGGCCACGCCCTCGGCGGCGGCCCAGCCACGCTCAGCTGGCTGAGTGTGACGATGACGTCACAATGGTGACGTCACCATCCGTCAAGGATGAAGTACGGACATCCTCGAACGGTTAATATCTCGGGCTTTAGAGTGTGGGGAGAAGTGCGATAACTAGAAAATCAAATATGTAAGCATTCAAACGTTGAAACAAAAGATTGACAGATTAACAATTAAATGAATTGCAATTGTCTGCACTTTTATCAAAAATATATTGAGCAACATCACGTTTTTTCAAAAACGCATGTTTCACCATATAATGTTTCATGAATGTTGACCAAGAAAACATTGGAAAGCGATATTCCCTTGGACGTAATTTACTCTAGCTAATGCTAGTGCTATGCTAATGCTACTGTAGCTTTGTGCTAAATGATTTTGCATTGTCATTTATTCATATGGCTAGAAATCAAAACGAACTGGTAGCTGACTTTCGTTCCTACGAAGCATTCAACGCATCCAAGAAGTTCACAACTATAGTTCGTTTTTTTTTCTAAGTTCGACCCTCACTGTAAATGTCTCTTGGAACACAGCACGAGAATTGTTGGTTAAATACTGGAAAAACTGGCTGGCGCACATTGTTTTAAAAGACTATCAACTTTTATCAAAATTATTTCTACCTGGCTCCTACTTCCTAAACTCTCAGCTCGTAATTTGCCTATATTTACAACTCTGCAGGTATAGGAGATTCGTCAAGAATTATAACTGAACTAATTATTAATTCATCGCACATGAAGTTACATCATCAGTGCTCATAATGTATTTGGAAAATATTATTCATATCTCCAAAACATTGTTCGCTAACCAGTTTACTCAGTAATTCTCGTGCCTTGTTCAAAAAGATGTTTACAGTGAGGGTTGAACTTCAAAAAGAACGAACTATAGTTTACTTTGAGTGCCTTATCTTCGCCAGACAGTGCCGAATAGCACGCAGCTGTAGTGTACCCTCGTCAATAATACCCTGAAAATCAGCATCGGTAGGTCAATGAACTGGTCTAATTGCGTTGCCATGATTTTGTCTGGCTGAACTAACGTCAATGACCAACTAATGCATTGATTGTACCTATTGTGAATATCTAGGTAGGTATCTGTTTGCAAGACTCGTTGCTAGGTACTCCAGCCTCATGTACAAGCAAATGCGCATAAAACGATCTGTTTTCGGCATCGGTGAAAAATATCGGTATAGTTCGTTTTTTTTTCAAAAGGACGCTGGCTCAAAGTGCAATATCGAAGCTCTCACGTGAGTTTTGGCAGCTTCAGTGTCTGGCCAAGAATTTCTTACCGAAAAAATAATCGATTTCAAATTGTGCACGGTAAGTAGCTGGAAATTGTTTCTTAAAAATGAACCTACTATAATGACGTCACTAGTGGCAGCAGGCACCCAAATGTCCGTGCAATGGGACAAGTGTCAACGAATTTGGGTGAAACTTAGCATGGTGTGTCAAAAGTGGAAATAGCCGGTGCGCCGTCTGGCAACCCGGCAGCCCGCCGCCATAGGGAAATTCATGCTTTTTGTCGCTTTTTCGCTCCTTATGAGTCACTTGATCTAATTAGAGCTTAACTAGGAACGAGGCGGGTCACTTGGACGTATTCGGGAGCCGAATACGGTGTTTTGGAGCCAATACCTGGGAAACCCTACCCGCCCAACGCGAGTTTTTAAGAGTCTGCATGCCCAAATTAACGTTGAGCGCGGCCGTTTTCGGTCGGTTTTCCGCGACCTTGTGGCGAAATCGCCTTATTTATTCAACCATGGTGGGCTAATTCGCTTAACTAGGAATGAGGCGTTGAAGAGAATTATTCAAGGAATAGAGCTGTGCAAAAATATTTTTTGTATTGTTAAAACTGTATCCGCCCTCGAACGATAAATATTGTTGACCCATATGAAACATATCCCCTGGAATGCGTTTGAACTTGGCTGGATCTAATATTAGCGAGTGTCTGCTAATGCAGTTTCTTGGCTTACACAGTACGCACACAAGCATACATGCTTCCTGCCCTTGGTTATTCCTCACTTGAATGAAAATCTTGCTATAATAACTATTCCAAGCAGTTAACAGGTTTTAGTGCAGTGCCAAGTCGGAACCGTTCAGCGCCGCCAGTCTCCCAGGCGGCGCGTAACGGGCGCCGCCGGCCGCCGCGCCGCCGCTCTGGCAGGGTGTTTGACTTCATATCTCTGTTGCTAGAAAAGTTGTGGACCGATTTACTTGATTCTTGCATGAAAAGATTCGCCATTCAATTCTTAGCAGATAACGAAAATTTGACGTCAATTGCACGATCCGCTGCCCATATTGTGGTACTGCCATCTATTGACAAGGCTGGCGAACTAAAGCCGGGCGGCTATTTCCACTTTTGACACACCATGTTTTTCACTGTTGCCGAGCATAATCGAGTAAGCAGTTCCGTCCATGATAGTTATACGTTACATTGCAATACATGTTCGACAGCATGACGTCACCACTGTTCCCATATCTGGTTCCAAAACGCACATATGGAAATTATCGGGAAGAAATCACATGTTAAAATTAGTCGACGTTCGATTTTCTCAGGTTCAGTTTTTGCTCGTTTTGGCGGCTAAAACACGTGCTTGTTCGAAAAACATACTTGGAGCCAGAGTCCTTTTGAAAAAAAAAAACGAACTATAGTGCCTAGTTTTCTGTACACTTATGCCTGAAACAGACTCTTTCCGCAGTCAGGAAATCTCATGCGAGTGCCTATTCAAATACATGGAAGCACGCTCGCATCAATCGTACGCACCTCCCGGATGCGATTGATGCGGGAAGAATTAAAATGTATTTGAATAGACTCTGGCATGCGATTTCCTGAACGCAGAAAGAGTCAGTTTCAGCCTTTATACCCGAAATAACCGTCAGCGATGATGACACAACCGGCTCTGGTGTCATTTTCCAAGGGAAATTTACTTGGCTTTGTAATACTTTTTCTCTCTCTTTCTCTCTCCAAAAGCCTAGCATTTGAAACATGTGCCGATAGCTTGTTATGTTCCCTTTACACATTTCGCTGACATAAAATCACCTTTTCAATGTGGTGTCGATAAAAAGTAGTTCATTTAGCTGTTAAAGATCGTTCAAAATACAAAAACATTTACGTCACGAGGCGAATGAAGTAAGACAGTCAAATATGTAAAATAAAGAGTAGGGAGACATTAGACCGTGGACTGACGTGCGATTTTCATGAAAGCCATCATTCAAAAATGATGACATGACAATGCCCTTAGCACGCAACAAAACCTTCAAAATTCGTCAGTGTCTGATCTATGCAGGGAAAGAAAGATCTACCTTTGTTATTAACACGGAAATTTGAATATTTTCTACTCGTTTCAACGTTTTCGTCTTCTGCTCATTTCACCTCATGCAGCCTGCAACTGCGGATCCTTAACTTGTGTGCTCCAAGTTACACCTTAATATATATGTATGCACCTTAGCCACTTGCTTTCCAGGGAAGTCCTACATATGCACCCTAGAAATACTTTGCTTTGTTCCTCCTACTCATATTCTTTTTAAAAGATAAATTTCAAACATACCAGCAAGTGCTATCATCAAATAGGTATGTATAAAACAAACGTGACATCAAAACGTTATCTAAGACATCAAATTTCATCCATCGATTGATAAAATGATTATTATGGATTTCATCAAATGAATATCGAATGAATATGAAAATGATATAAAAAATATTCAGCCGTGTATATTATCAATAGTTCCTAAATAACTCAGCTGGGCATTACAGGCAAACATTGTCTGGAAACACTATTTGATTTCATCGAATTTAGAGCGACAAAAAAAAAATCACTCAGCTAAATAATAGTCGGGATCATCATGCGTTGAATTGCACTATCTTTCTAGGAAAGGTTTAATATGCCATAGGTCCACAGTGCAGGGATATTTCTGTCTCGCACTCCTCTGAGATGCAAAGATAAGAATTTGTTATCTTTGCATCACTCAGAGATGCAAAGATGCAAAGTCTGGAGGGTTTGATCTTTCCGGCAGACCCATGCATAATTTTACTTCTTACACACTATTAGTTGCTATAAATTCTTTATTTTTTTTCTATAAACTCAAAACGGGTGTTGTTGTCCCGGCCGAGAAAAAAATCATGTGATCTCTTTCCCGGGCGGGGAAAGATCAAATGTTCTTGCCACGAATGGTTCATTACGATTTATCCTCGTGTCTTTGCCTGGCCAAAGGATCTTTCGATTCGGTGTGTAAGAAATAGGATTCTTCATGGATCACTCGTGGAGGATCAGATATCTTTTCCTCGCGTGTCCTAGAAAAACCTTGCTGTTTCGTCACTCTGTTTTTCAGAAACCCGCGTGGAAATATATCCTTATCTTCCACTCGGAGCCATGAAAATCTCCTATGTACTCGTCTTTGTCAGTAGCGAAGATGTCTTTACAATTCAAAATGTATTCAGTTTCTTCAATGGTCTGCCACGATTAACTACCATTCAACGGTTGTTGCCTTCGGTTATGTAACCCTTTATCTTCGCATCATGTGACTCTGACATGTTTGCGTCGTTTTTCATTGATTTTTTTTTTTCCAACCACGCAGCACCTCATCAACAGCTCAGAATACAAGAAACATAATGTATTCATGGACACAATTGAGTGCAAACAGCACAACAAAGCCGGTCATGATATGAACGATGACGATTCTCGTAAATGATTCACTCTGCAGAGCACACCTGACATCTGGTGAAATTTTCAGCAAACATCAGACGAGTTTGTTACCCTCGTGATAGCCTCTGCTGGATCAGAGCTGTTTAGCTTTAATCAGCAGACTGCCACACGAAAGCGAGGGAAAGAAGAGACGGCACCTGACACAGCTTATTCCGCAGCCTCGACGGCAGGCTCAGCCTTGGCCTCCTCGACCTTCTCGAAGGTCAGGGGCAGACCCAGGCCGGCGTAGCCGTAGCCGTAGGGGGCGGCGTAGCCGTACGCGTGAGGAGCGGCGTAGCCGTACGCATGAGGAACGCCGGCATAGGTGACGGCGGGGGCGGCAGCGTAGGTGACGGCGGGGGCGGCAGCGTAAGTGACGGCGGGGGCGGCAGCGTAGGTGACGGGGTGCTCGACGGTGGTGGACTTGACGACGGGGGCTCCGTGGCTGTAGGAGACGCCGACCGCCTTCCGCACGGTGGAGACCACGGGGCTGACGGCGGCGTAGGCGTGCGCCTCGTCGGTGCGGTAGGCGAAGTTGCCGCCGAACCTGTGGCTCTGGATGACGGCCGAGTCGTGGGCGGGCGCCCGCAGGACGGTGGTGGCCGGCACGACCAGGCCGGCGCTGGCGCACGCCAGGGTAGCGAACAGGGCAACGAACTGCAAACACAAACACCAACGGGCGTCAGCGGCGGGCAATGGTGAGGCACGGTGTTTAAATCAAGTAGCTCTTAATTGTTTATTGAAGAGAAATGTTTTCGTGTCTGTTGAAAAAAATCTTTTTGATTATTTTGACTTTATATCGTTTTAATTTTTTTTCGTCGCAATTATTTTTCCTTTCATCGGAGACGGCGTCATCCACATCCCGTGCCGTTGTGAACTTACCACCTTCATGATGCTGCTGGCTGGGTGAGTCTGCAGAGGAGAATGCCTCTCGAACAGCCGCCGCCGTCTTTATACCCAACATCCAGGTGACGTCACCCGCCGACCAGTGACGTCACTCACAGTCTCGTGACGTCACCTGTGAAGGCCGCTGGAACTGGGCGGGTCTCTCTGCTCCTTCCAGCCGCTCGCGTTCGGATGCCGTGTCGGTCTACCTTCACCAGAAACATGAACTGTAACACGATGAGGATAACATGGAGCAGGGTCAACGAGCTGAAGGAGGGCACATTGTGCCGTGGCCTATCTATTCCAGAGGACAGAAGAATATCGACACCCCTTGTAGCATACAAGCTGGTGTGCCGAGGAACCTACGTAGATATTCAGTTTTTAGGTAAAGTATGCACCGTATGGCGTATAATATAATACAACTTTTCCAGAAATTTGTAGCTGGCGTTGGGTTTTGAAGTGTATCGAAATGCATCACCGTTCACGTTGCCGTTTTCTCACATTACGTAATTCAAGAAAGAAAAATCGAATTTTTGAAGAACATCAACACATGAATATATTTTCGATTTTTTAACCCGGCAGGCGGTGGGCCTACCAGCCACCTTCCGCGCGGTGGGGGGGGGGGGGGAGGGGGCATTTTTTTGCCCCCCCCTCGTATCTCCGAAACTACTGGACGGATCCGGAAAATTCAAACGGCGTTCGATAGCCCTGTCAAATTTGTTGAAGGAAACCAAATTTCATTGACCTCAGGGTCACCGATGACGTCACAGGTCAGGTCAAAGATAAAATGTTTCACCGTTCACGGGGCTTCTAGGGAAAGTGCTATAACACCGAGTAAAACGCATTTTGTCGAAAATCAGCGATAAGGCGTCAGTAGTCTAGTACATATGCTGCTATTAGAGGTCACTGGTCATACCAGGTCAGGTCACAGGTCAGGTCACCAAAGGTCACCAAGGGTCACCACATGAACCCAACTTTACTAAGGCTGCGCGATGCATGTTTTATGGCCAGGTTTCATTTCCAACTCAATGGTATTGGTTATAAGACCATCAGGTACGGTTTAGGTCACTTTCTGGTGGAGGTCAGGTCAAGGTCAGGTAAAAAAGGTCAAATTTCAAAGTTGATATTTTTTCATAAAATGGGTATCGATTCGATGCAGCTCGTCACGGGGAGTCTAATGGTGGTCTTTGTTTTGCGCTACGAGGTTTAGAATTGCTAAAAATTGAGTTTGAAAATTTGACGTCATAAATTTTGAACAGTTTTTTTTTCGCTATAACTTGGCCAAAAAAAGAGGCATTGATCTCAAATTTGGTATGTAGATAGAAGGCGTTAGGGACTATCACATATATTCCGGGGTTTTCGAAATTCATTTTTTTTTATTTTTCGGCTATTATTTTCAAAAAATCTATTTTTTGATTTTTGGGGTTCAAAATCCAAAAAATGTGAAAAACCGAAATAGCAGTTTTGTAGCCCTCTTGATTCCACACCTTTTATGTTGAATCATTTTTCTGTATCTCTAAAGCTGTAGGCCTGACAGCTCTTCCCGCGAAACCTTTTTTTTTGGGTCGAAAATGGCAAAAATGACGTCACTCTGACGTCATTAGCGGCCAACCTATCATAGGCTTTGGAAAATTTTTGGCCACCATGTGCGCTAGCTACTCCCGGGAGGGTACTGAAAGTTTGGTGACGATCGGCGCAGCGGTTCTCGAGATATATCGAAAAAACTAAAGGGGGGGGGGCAAAAAATGCCCCCCCACCGCCCGGAAGGTTAAGAACATATATTTTGCTTATTATTGTTGACCTTTCATTCGACATTTTATTTCGTTTTGATTTGAGCTATTGGTAACCTCTTTTAATGACATTTTGCCAAAGACGAAAGGCCAAAGGCTAAGGCTCGGCTCGTGGGGTAGGTCCTATCTTGGGTGGTCAAATGTTAATTTTTGGAGCTGCCTTTCTTTATTTTGCTTATCTTTTTATACTGACAAAAGTGTCAACTGAAATATTCGATAGGAACAACAAGGGGCTACTTCGAAGTACACACACTGTTTATTGTCAACTCCGTTTGACAATAAACCATCGGGTGTTCCTGGTTTGCATCTATGAAGCATTCCAGGTATGGTGCAGTACCTTGCATTTATCTACCCCGTTCTGTTACTGATGTTTGTCACCAAACACCAGAGAAACATACCCCTCACAGCATTTACTCACTCCAATTACAGAGACCAACGACTGAAGTCAAGGTTCCGAGCCTCATTTGGACCACCGTAATGACATTGGACCTCTTGGCTAACAATCCCTGTGTCATTTGTGTATTTAATGCGTCTCCACCTTCTCATACTTCAAGACCATTGTCTGGCCATCTTAGATATGTTTTTCTGAACGAGAGAGGCGGAAGGGAGGAACGTGGATCTATGACGACTGTTTTGTTGGAACAGCATCTGTCTATAGTGATGGTCTGGCGCAATGACCTGCTTGAAAAGACGATACTCGTGAAGGACAGTAGAAAATAACTGGTGAAGGACAGTGTTTTTGTGAAGGATTTTACTGTCTTCTCTGTTGTCGGTTCTTAGACGTCCGCTGTAATGTCAAAACACTCGAGTATTCCTCGCAATCTGGCGCTCGTATGATGCCAGTAGTATTATTTTGACAATGGGGCGGGCAGCAGGACTTACTTTATCGAAGTGTACCACGCCACCTAAAACGGCCGTTCGATCGAGTGAGAAGATTACGGGTGAAGACTTCCACTGGCGTCCAACTAACGTCTAACTGAGCAGACGTCTAGGTTGGCGTCTAACTTGTTTATTTGTTTATTTGTTTATTTTTCAAAACGCTACGGTTCTTAGACGTTGGATGGAGCTCCAAGCTAGAAGCGTATAAAGTTAGCTGTCGTCAGACGCAGCCACCGTCCAGCTAGACGTGTCGAAGGCTTAGACGCGTCTAGCTAGACACAAAATGGAAGTCACCACCCTACATGTTTTGCACAAGATAGACGTTTATTTCCATCGTTTTTGTTATCCTCAGGATTGCTTGTTTCATTGCAGTTACTTTTCTTTTCTCTTGTTCTCCGGGATGAATGGTCACTGGGATCCACTAGATGAAGATTTCCATTAGGACAACACTTCTCCAGTTGACTGTTAGTGTGAACCCACCTTAGTTGCTTACAAAGAAGTGAAACATCACTACTGCTAGAGGTAGTTGTGTTGTGACAAATGTGTCCTGGCTAACCTGATGCACTTTTGTTCTCTTTGCAAATTGGCAACCTTGTGTAACGTTTTATTTACGTGCAAGTATAATTCGTAGCCGGAACAAGCTCACCGCTACATTTACCCCAAATTTAGTGGCCTCGTCCATCGTCCACCGGGCGCCTCCGAACAAGTTCGCCTCCGTGCGACATTTCCACCGCACTTTACCACGGTTTTCCAGCGCTCGGCATTGACGCCCGTCGACAAGGTCGCCTCACACACAAAGCAGTGAGGAATCCGTAACGAAACTGCCTCGCAGCGTATAATGATGCCGTGATTGCTCCCCCGTCCAGCCGTCCGCGGTGAACGGTTTCGGTCCGCTGATCCGACCACCGCTCGACGGCGATCGCTCCCGAAACCTCCCAGCGGCGGCGCGGCGCGGCCTCCAAAGCCAGGCGTGTCCCCCCTGCCGGTGCGGTCGGTCGCTTCCCCCCTCCCCCTCCCGGTCCAACATCCTCCTCTGAAGAGTCCTTCAGGCGCGTCACGACGTACCACCCCCTGATGAGGCGCCGGCTGCAGATGGGAAGGGAGGGGCCGTGGCCAGGGCGGGGCACGGTGCTGGTCCAGATCGACTGATAGGTGTTGGCGCCGGTGCAGAGAGGGAGGTCCAAGGACGGGGTGGGAGAGGTTGGGCGTGCGACTGCTGCTATAGAGGATAAGACTGGCAAGATAGGGAAGGGTAAGACAGAGTAAGATAAGGTAAGGTAGGGCGGGACAGGACAAACGGGATAGGGCATAGCGGGACAGACAGGACGGGACAGGATATGAGACAGTAACTAGCAAAGGATGCAGATTATTTACATCACGCAGACCGCCAGGATATTTATGTCCCCTCAGGGCACACCTGCCACTTGTCATTGTCTTGATTCTTGACCTTTCGGTACGCACTACGCAGCACAACTGTGTATAGATCATATGCGTTGGCCGTTGGATGGTTTTTAGTTTTACAAACTCAAATATGAAATAAATCCTGGCCCTGCCTCCAAATGCTTCTTTATGATGCCCCGCCTGACACCGTCCTTCTGCCTCATCTTTGACAACGACATTCCCCATTTCATCTCCACTGAATAGCCCAAAATTGGACGGCACAAGTCACTCGGCCCATCCATTCAACTGTGGCTTCTATAGGTCATCAGGGTCGACCCCCGGCGCACGACTGCGAGGAACTGCGCAACGAAATGTTCCGGGTTCGCTGCCCAGACGTAGGGGTTCAAGGATGGCACGCGGTGCCCGCTGCTTTGAATAGCTCTGTGCGGTAGCTTGGATCTTTATAAAACGTTGTTATTCTACCAGACAAGGCTGAAAATATCAATAAAGACTAAAATAGGTATGATAATAATTCAGAAGCATGAATAGGGGGGGGGGGGACTCGAATATTTTCTTTAGATAAATGCTGTGCGCAATCTGTGGGTACTTAATCAGTCACCGGAATTAATATTGACAAACAGGCATGTGACAGATACAACGCCTAGAACGCACGCTTACACAAAAACGGGCATCGGAAATAATGAACTGAAATATGTATATGAACCGATGTGTCATTGAGTGTGATAAGGTTCTGGAGACGAAACTGTGATTAGCGGCTGTCTAATGTTTTGCATTGCACTCGTACAGTTGACCACAGACTGATGTTTCACTTTTTACAGGCTATCAGTTGCCTGGAGTGGTAGGCTGTGCCGCATGACACGGGCTGAGTTCACAGTTAAATGCTGTGTCCCAACACTCACCATAGACACGATTTATTGCGTGATAAACGGTACAACTTGGCGCTCCAGTAAACTGATAGCTTCTGAGGAGTGAAGTATTATTCTGCAGGCAAGTCTACTGCCTCAATTTCAAATAGACGGTTTGCCAATAGCTAGGAAAGGAGTGAGAGTTGGAATGACGAGTTGGAATGATGACCGTTGCCTGCGTTTGATATCAAACATGGAATGCTTATGAAATGGATAGGCGATTTCATTTGAGCAATGACCTCTCTATCTCTCTCTCTCTCTCTCTCTCTCTCTCTCTCTCTCTCTCTCTCTCTCTCTCTCTCTCTCTCTCTCTCTCTCTCTCGCTCTCTTTCTCTGTGTCTCTTTCTCCCTCTCTCTCTTTCTCAATCCCTCTTTCTGAGCCTCTCTATTCTCTTTTCTTTCTCCCCTCTCACTGCTTCTTTCTTTCTTTCTTTCTTTCTTTCTTTCTTTCTTTCTTTC